AAGACCGATAGGTTTTATTGGAAAAGTCCAAAGGCGGCTGGTCCATTACATTAGGGAAAAGATAGGGACTATAAGAGGCTTTCCCAGTGTAAGTCTGTTTATCTCACATCGCTTTGTCTCTACTCTGTTTACTCATGTAAACTCTGTGCTGTATGGTCCTCTCATGGGGAGGTAAAGGGGAATTACCTGTTAATGGTGTTTACTCTGGGCCCCGGAACCCAAAGCTTTTGTCATTCATGAAACCACTCTTTTAACCATGTTAATTACCCACAAGCATGTTAACTTGAACCCTCTGTTATAAAATTTTTACTAAATAAATGTATGGATGTACAGGGAGTCTTGGTCAATTGGTGGCAGTTGCCCTCTGAAAGCAGCCAGTGACCATCCCTAGCCTACTTGAGTCACTGAAATAGGTGTGAGAGTGCGTTTATTCATCCGTCATTAAGTTAGGGTCTGCAGGACAGACCTCTGCAGATGGTGATGAATGTCTCATTCCTTTATCACACTCACTTCCACTCAAATTGAATACTAACTGAGAGGAGGGTGATGGGGTTGATGTTCAACAACTTTCAAGCTTACATGCAATTTTGGAACAATGAACAGTGACAGAAGAACAGTGAAGATCCCTGGGTTCCCACCACATTGGCCACTGTGGAGAGCTTGGAATATCATGATGTTTCATCCTAAAGCATGCAGTTTGTTGTGTTTGCTATGGTTCAAGAGCAGATTGCTAACAAAATCTGTAATTTAGAGTAAGATGCAAATTGCTTCACTAAAACAACCTGCCAATACTTGTAATCTTTTAATCTTTTTTTTTTTTTTCTTTTGAGGCAGGGTCTTATTGCTTTGTTTCCCAGGCTGGAATGCCATGGCATGATCTCGGCTCACTGCACCCTCCTCCTTCTGGGTTCAAGTGATTTTCCCACCTCAGTCTCCCAAGTACCTGGGATTACAGGGGGGTACCACCACACCCAGCTAATTTTTGCATTTTTAGTAGAGATGGGGTTTCACCATGTTGGCCTGGCTGGTCTTGAACTCCTGACCTCAGGTGATCCACCCACCTCAGCCTTCCAAAGTTCTGGGATTACAGGCATGAGGCACCATGCCCAGCCAATAGTTGTAATCTTTATGTGATGTGAGTTGTGAGTTAAAGTTGCATTGTAAATTCATAAATATTTTCATCATAGCAACAGTATTTAAAATGTGGTAAATGGTTGAATTCCAGAATGGCTTACTTTTTTAAAAAAAGCTAGTTTGTTTTATAATCACAATTATATCAGAATTTTTTATAGTTGAAAGAGTTGACCCTTGAACAATTTGGGGTTTAGGGCCTGCACAGTCAAAAATCTGATTCTAACTTTTGACTCCCCTCAAACTTAACTACCAAAAGCTTACTGTTGACCATAAGCTTTACTGATAACATAAACAATTAACACATTTGTTTATGCTATATGCATTACATATGGTATTCTTACTATAAAGTAGGCTATAGAAAAGAAAATGTTTAAAAAAAACAGTGAAGGGATAATATATGCACTATTCATTAAGTGGAAGCAGATGACCATAAATGTATTTATCCTCATCTTCATGTTGAGTAAGCTGCAGAAGAGGAGAGGTTGATTTCACTGTCTCAGGGCTGACTGAGGCAGAAGAAAATCCGCACATAAGTGGACCCTCACAGTTCAAACTCCTGTTGTTCAAAGGTCAACTGTACATTTTTTTGTGTGTGGAGGTATCCTTTCATACACACATGGTATTGACCTGAAGTCATTTTGGTTTGTTAGTAAAAGGTTATGTCCATTGTGTGCAATTGCTTTTCAGCACTTGTGAAACACTTTATACTACTGCTTGTGAACTGAGCCCACTAGGTGTAATTGAGAAGCTCCCGAATCAATCGCATCAGGATGAGCCTGCACAGCCATGGCGAGGGAGAACCAGGCAGTTCTCAGGGATGTCCCTGAGCCAGAGACTAGGCTCCCTGCCTAACTTAGGTAAGACCTACCAACAAGCGATCTGATTAATCTAATCTGAGTTATTCACACACATCTTATGACAAAAAGAAAAAATGCTACTCATGCCATGGCCATATGAATGTCACTCCCAGGTCAGAGTGAATAATGTAAAGCTTTTAGATGAATAGCAAGGATGTGAATAAGATTCTTATGAAACTAATGAATTCAGAATTTTGATGAATACAATAAAATAAATAGGTAAAATGTATTGGAAGCTTTAAGATATTACCACTATCTTAAAGCTTCTTGGTTTTTTTTTCTATCTAATTCTGAGTTTTCAGATTGTAAGGCTGAGACTACTGTGTGCTGAAATTGGTTGGTGAACAGAGATATTTGTTTAAAGTACTATAACTTAGTTCTAATACAAAGCGGTGTGCTGAATATGGTTAAAAAAGAAGGTGGCAGGGAGTTTTCACAAGTTGGTCACTTCACACTTACCACGCAACTGCACCTTGGGCACAGAGACTGAGTACCTGCGTGCCGTGGTGGGCGAGCCAGCACAGCCTGCGAGCCAGCTGGGCAGGGTTGGCTTCCTGCCTCTACTTCAACCAACAGGCTGGAAGCACAAGTAAGGGAGAATGCCAGCATCCCTGCTAGTGAGACTTCTTTGTCTACATTTGTTCACTCCAGTTCAAGTTTACAACCCCATTCCCTCTGCTAAGATTCCGGGCCTCAGAGATGATACTGCCCTGAACCACCTTGATTTTCAGTTAGGTGTACAGATTGTATAGACTGTCACGCTCCACTAAGTTGAGTAGAATTTTTCAGATGTGCTTTTACTTCATAATGTCATATTTATCTACTTCTATTTAATAAACAAAAAATGAACAATTAACATGCTAACAAGTATGAATACATTATATGGGCTTTTTTTTTTTGAGGTTTACTGGCTTCTTATAAAGGATACTACAAAGAATCCAAGTGATGTGTAGGGTGAGGTATGGGGGAAGGGCACTGAGCTTCCCTGTCCTCCCTGGGTGTACCACCCTCCAGGAACCTCCCTGTGTTCAGCTATTGGGAAGCTCCCAACCCAGTCCTCTTAGGTTTTTTATTTTTTAATTGTGATTTAGGTTCTGGGGTACATGTGCAGATCATGCAGGATTGTTGCATAGGTACAAACATGGCAAGGTGGTTTGCAGCCTTCATCCCCCCATCACCTATATCTGGTATTTCTCCCCTCATTATCCCTCCCCACCCTCCCCACCCAACTGTCCCTCCCCTAGCCTCCCCCACTGACTGCAGTATGTGATGCTCTCCTCCCTGTGTCCGCGTGTTCTAATTGTTCAACACTCGCCTATGAATGATAACACACGGTATTTGGTTTTCTGTTCTTGTGTCAGTTTGCTGAGAATGATGGTTTCCAGGTACATCCATGTCGCTATGAAGGACACAAACTCATCGTTTTTTATGGCTTTTTAGTATTCCATGGTATATATGTGCCACATTTTCTTTATCCAGTCTATAGATGATGGATATTTGGGTTGGTCCCAGGTCTTTGCTATTGTAAACAGTGCTGCAATGAACACATGTGTGCATGTGTCTTTATAATAGAACACTTTATAATTCTTTGAGTATATACCCAGTAATGGAATTGCTGGGTCAAATGGTATTTCTATTTCTAGGTCCTTGAGGAGTCACCACACTGTCTTCCACAATGGTTGAACTATTTTACACTCCCACCAACAGTGTAAAAGTGTTCCTATTTCTTCACATCCTCTCCAGCATCTTTTGTCTCCAGATTTTTTAATGATCGCCATTCTAACTGGTGTGAGATGGTATCTCAATGTGGTTTTGATTTGCATTTCTCTAATGACCAGTGATGATGAGCACTTTTTTATGTTTCTTGGCCTCATGGAGTCTTCTTTTGTAAAGTGTCTGTTCCTATCCTTTGCCCACTTTTGAATAGGTTTTTTTTGTTGTAATCATTTTTAGTTCTTTGTGGATTCTGGATATTAGCCCTTTGTCAGATGGGTAGATTGCAAAAGTTTTTTCCCATTCTGTTGGTTGCTGGTCACACTAATGATTGTTTCCTTTGCTGTACAGAAGCTCTGGAGTTTAATTAGATCCCATTTGTCTATTTTGGCTTTTGTTGCCATTGCTTTTGGTGTTTTAGCCATGAAGTCCTTGCCTATGCCTATGTCCTGAATGGTTTTGCCTAGGTTTTCTTCTAGGGTTTTTATGGTGTTAGATCTTATGTTTAGATCTTTAATCCATCTGGAGTTAAATAGGGATTTTTTTTAGATGTCTATTCAGTATGCATTTTACAAATATATCTTAAGGCTATATCCCTGCTACCTAATAACAAATGTATGTTCTGATTTAGAAAAAAGAGATACATGTGATATGGAAGGTAAAAATGCAGAAACCTGAATCGATTGATAAATACCAGTTATTTCATACATGTGAACAATTCACAAGATGAAAGGGGTTGCAGAACTCTGCTTCTCCCATTTTCTAGCTATCTCTTTTTCAGATATCCTTTACCTGAATAACTACTACTCTGTGTAGAGTGGAGAGAATTTTAAAATTGGAGATTATTTTAACATCCTAGGATAACCGAGGTTATATTTATTTTCATATCATCACATTCACCAAATTAGCAGTAAAAGTTGACTACTTATTTTTGGAGACAATGTCTCACTCCGTCACCCAGGCTGGAGTAGTGCAGTGGTGCAATTGTAGCTCACTGCAGTTTCAAACTCCTGAGCTCAAGCAATCCTCCTGCTTCAGCCTCTAGAGTAGCTGGTACTACAGGTGAGCAACACTATGCCTGGCTAAGTTTTTTTTTTTTTTTTTGTAGAGACAGGGTCTGCATTGTCCAGGCTGGTCTTGAACTCCTGGCCTCAAGCAATCCTTTCACCTTGGCATTGAAAAGATCTGGGATTACAGGCATGAGCCACTGCACTTGGCTAAAAGTTGATTTAAAATTGCATCTGTAGAATTATACCTAGCAACTTTTAAGACAAAGAAATTAAGAATTCAAAGTTGTCATTAAAATCAATTATTTTAATTGCTGAAATTAACATACATAATCGATGTAGGTGAGAGAGATCACAAGTATTTGGATGAAATTTATAGTAAATCATCCTATTGCTGGAGACAGTCATGAAGAGCTCCATCCTGTTGATCTGCTGAACTGAAAGCGACTGTCACTCAGCCTTCAAGGACATGCACATCATAAAGGAGGCCAAGCAGAAATCAAAGCAAACAATAGCTACATGTGTGGAAAATATACATCAAATTACACAGACAAGAGTTATGACCAGTTGTGTACCTGCTCAAGTGGGAACATTTTAAAAGATGACAATCATCTATGAATACTGAAATGTGATGGTCAAGTGGTCCATCATCAACACAGATACAAATGGAAATCATTAAACTTTCTGGAGGGGCCATTTGAATAACAACATCAAAGCCTGGGTTTTTCCCAGCGGGATTTTGATCTTCTTATCTGGATAAGCACAGGCAGACATGGGCTGGCCAGTGGCTGGTTTCTGGATGCAGCCACACTGACGGACTTAGCACTGCAGCTCCTCCTCCTTGGTCCCCCGGGAGCCTCCTGACAAGCTCTGGGCGCTGGCATGGGCCGTGGAGCTGAGGACCTCCTCAAAACTGCCTCCATTAGGGTTCATCCCGCCTACTTTCGTCTGAAATGAGCAGATCCACAAAAATGCAGTTAGTTGTTACTATCATTTTTGTAATGTTTTTATAAGAATGCCAAAAGCTGGATTACTTTCAAATTCAGAAATACTTTCTATCTTTAGAGACAAAGGAATGTAGAGAAGTTTGTTTCCTTTAGCTGAGTGCTAGAATGTTATTCATACTTGGGTTCTGGGACAGGATTCCAAAGTTTAATTTTGCACAATTTTAGCAACTCTCTCTTTGTCTCTTCTACTTCTAAGATTTCAATCCCTTCAAGAGCATAATCCGATCCATGGACTTGGAACTTCTATCCCCACTCACCCAGAGAACTGATCTAATCAAAATGGAATTAGATTTTTTTTATTAATTCCTCCAATTTTACAAATGTATAAACATCTTTACATGACATAAACTTAAGATTTTTGGGGGGAGTTAGCAGGACAATCTGGATTTCTGGCAAATGCCTTTGAAAAGACAGAGTGGCTCAATGGAAAATGATTTCTCGTTTCTGCTCTGAAAGTTGGAGATGGATCAAGCCTTAATCACTGGTGATTTCACATCATCTTAGGTAATTGCCTTTTGATATGGTTTGGCTGTGTCCTCACCCAAATTTCATCTCGAATTGTAGTTCCCATAGTCCTCATAAGCCTACCAGGGAGGAACGTGGTAGGAGGTAATTGAATCATGGGGGTGGTGACCTCCAAGCTGTTCTCATGATAGTGAGTGAGTTCTCACAAGATCTGATGGTTTTAAGGGGCTTTTATCCCTTCTGTTTAGCACCTCTCCTTCCTGCCACCATGTGAAGAAGGACATGTTTACTTCCCCTTCCGCCATGATTGTAAGTTTCTTGAGGCCTCCTCAGCCCTGTGGAACTGTGAGTCAATTAAACCTCTTTCCTTTATAAATTACCCAGTCTTGGGTATTTCTTCATAGCAGCATGAAATGGAACTAATACACCCTTATAGTAGGAATATTCCTTACAATGCAGAGATGATGCTTTATGAGGCCTTTTTCGTCTATACTTGCTATTGACTAAGAATAAACATGAAGGAATTAACTTACCATTTAAAAATATGGCTATTTTGAAAAATTCCTTATTTAAAAAGCTGTATATTTAATGGTCCAAAATGCTTAGTACAAGTCTTATTAATAGTCACATTGGCCTTCCCTCCTATTGTTTTTCATAATGTAGAAAAAGCACTTTGAAGCAGGAAACAGAGATATAGAATAGATAATGTTGCTATTGCCAAACTGATGTTGATGCCCCACTGTCACCAAAGTGATCACTCACAGACATCAACAACACTGAGGAGTGTGTTCATGCTGCCTGGCCTGCTATTTTAAAAATGTAACGAGGGTTCAAAAGCAGTTCCATCAGTACAAAACATACTTTTCTCCAATTGTCACTAAAATCTCTCTCAGCCTCTTTAATAAATTTTTTATTGAATTAAACTTTCCACTCTGCTTGTGTCAGAAAACTCTACCTGTAAAGGGCTAGACGGTAAATACTTTAGGCTTAGTAACCATATTGTTGCTCTCACAGATACTCAAATGAGTTCTGGCCACAGCCAATACCTAAATGAATGAGCGTGGCTTTCTTTTCCTTCCTTCCTTCCTTCCTTCCTTCTCCCTTTCCCTTTCCCTTCTATTCTTCTCCCTTCCCTTTTTCTCCCTTCCCTTCCCTTTCTCTCCCCTTCCCTCTCTCTCCCTTCCCTTCCCTTTCTCCCTCCCCTTCCCTTTCTCCCTCCCCTTCCCTTCGTTTCCTTCTTTCTTTTTGAGAGGAGTCTTGCTCTTCGCCCAAGCTGGAGTGCAGTGGTGCGATCTTAGCTTACTGCAACCTCTGCAGTTCTCCCTGTCTCAACCTCCTAAGTAGCTGAGATTACAGGCACCCGCCACTATGCCCAGCTAATTTTTTTATTTTTAGTAGAGACAGGGTTTCACCATGTTGGCCAGGCTGGTCTCGATCTCAGGTGATCCGCCCACCTCGGCCTCCCAAAGTGCTGGGATTACAGGCATGAGCCACTATGCCAGGCCAAGGCTGTGTTTCAGTAAGACTTAATGTATGGACACTGAAATGTGAATTTCATATAATTTAATTTTCACATGTCACAAAATATTTTTATTTTGATTTTTTTCAACCACTATAAAGCGTAAAGCCATTCTCAGCATATGTATCATTCCAAAGAAAATGGCCAGCTTAGTTTGTGGACCTCTGGCAGAGCACTGATTCTTCCTCCCCTTGTTATCTTAACATTGGGAATACGTAGGGGGAAGGGATGGTTTCCACTATGTGATTTTTCTTTATGCTTATTTCTTCCCTGAGAGAAACAAATAAGATTAATTCAATGTAATCTACTCTATTAATAGTTCCCTCTTTCCTTTTTTTTCTTCCATTCACATTCTCTTTTGCAATAGAAGTAACACACAATATTGAATTCAGTGAATACCAATTACTGATGTGTTCTTCTGTTCTTTGTTTCTTTCTTCTCTCCTGTTTCTTGATTCAAAACAGAGTAGTAAAGAAGAAAGAAATGACTTTGTAAGAAATAAATTTGGCAAAGAAGGAATGGAATAAGAGAGTTTCCTAACCACATAGGTTTAATGACTGCCTACTGCAATACCTTAGGTAAGGGCCTGCTTAAGCAAAGATGTGAATGATAAAATTCTCCTGGAACCTTCTCTTCATAATCATTTTTCATCCAAGTGTTTGTCACTTTGTCCCCAAAATTATAATTGTTCTTTGCATAGAATTTCATTTGAATTGCTGAGTTGGGCTTCCTCATCTCTCATAACAAAATAACTGATTGAGAGGACAAAAAAAAACAAAACATGTAAGCTTGCCCTTTGTTTTTTTAAGGTTTTGGTCCAGGCCATGTAATGTATTTATTATTTAAAAAGTAGACACACTAAAAATATGGTCAGCTTGGCATGGATGCAAAATGGTTGGAAGAGATGTAGTTACTCATGACTCATTGGGACATGTAGAAGATACCAAGGGTGGTTTCACAGGAGTTGGTTCCGCATTTGCTTGTTTGTTTTGGATGAAACAGCATGCTCAGTGACTATATAGGCGACACCAGCTAAAGTGTCAAGTAATACACCTTGTGTAGGCAGAAATGAATTTTATAGGATTGGAAAACTGTTTCATGGAAAAACCAACTACAGAATTGGGTATAAAGAAAGAACAATGGATTTGGTACAAGTGCCCCATGGTACATGACAGATTGTGTGGGAAGGTGGCAGGAGTGGACCTTTACAGCAGAACCATATTTCTCAGAATATAAATATGATGATTCCTTATCAGCAGTATTTTCAAAAATCAAATATAAAGCAGGGCATGTGAATGGAAATGCAGCACATAGACCTAGAAGAAATTCTACTCATCTTTACTGATTCATGAGTCATTCCCTCAGCAGAAAACAGTCTAAGGATCCTTAATTAAAGAACAATATAGACATTTTGGAGAAGATTTAGAACACAAAAGTAAACTGCAGAAAATGAGAGCTATATAAAGAAGGGTTATACATATCTATTATTCTAGTTGGGGGAAAAAGGACTGAGAAATTTGTAATTATTGAGGAAGTGGTAGGTTTGACACAAAGCGTGATTATCAGCTATTCTCCATTGCCTGTGTGGACAGAAAAAAAAGGGATTAGGCTTTGGCTGTGAGATAGGAGGTGGATGGGATGTGAGTCTTGTTAAACCATGAACAGTCATACAAACAGAATCACTTTCTGGAGGTCTTCACCTCCTGAAGGCTAGTATCTGGTGGGCGGGGTTAGTTATGTGCATGTCTGAAGTAGGCGGCAGGCTATACCTTCTATCCCAATAAGGTGAGAAAAGTGAAAAGCTGAGCGTGTGGATCAAACACTTAAATCCTATGTGAGCCGTGAGCTTTCCAGAATTTCCTAAAAGCAAATGAAAATGCGTTGTTCTTTAATCTTCTTTTGCTTCTTCGTTTCTCCTTCTTCTAAAGAAAACCTAAAAAGTACAACTTCTCCTATATCAAAACTTGTCTAACGAGCAATGGAATCCATCTTCGTTGTGTTGTCTAAGGAGGCTGAAAACCAAATGTTTAGAAACTGACTCCTGGGATTTTTGAGCCTTTTGTTTTGATATTCTAGTAAAAGAAATGTTTACAACATTGGATGCTCCTCCCTTTATAAAAATTTTCCTGCACATGGGGCAGTTTAACAACTCCCACCGGTCCCTGTACGCTCAGTAAGTGATCATGTTGGCATGCAGAGTGGTGAAACTGCACAACTGGAAACTGCTGGTGAATGAAACTGATGAAGGCATGGTAAATGCTGAATAATAATTTCATTATTGGCCTTAAACACCTGATTATGGGCCTAATAAAGTAGAAGTAGAAGACTATGTAAAAGACCCTGCTCTGAGAAAAAGACTCTCCGGGTCAAAATCCATAAGAGCACCTGGGACCACAAGTAAGGAATAACTTACAACTTCACATATACTTATCAAGGCAGCACATGTGACAGCAGCGTGGAGACGCAGGATTCAGAGGCAGCTGAGTAATCAGCATGGGATATAAAGGTTTTTGATCTGGTTAAAGATCACATGCATTCTTAATTTTCCCAGTTATGGTAAAATACAGAAATGGATTGTATGTATACAAAATAGGGATGATGATAGCAAGATGTAATTAAGTCATTAAATGATACCTTTAAAAATTATCTTCGTAGTTTTAGTGATTTTTCTTGTTTTAAAAGTTCAATACATTTTAAGACTAGACTGATTTCATTTTTACTCTTTGTATTCAAACTTACCTATGCTCAAACAGTAAGTCCAGTGAATTTTTTAATAGGCACATTTTCAGTTTATACCCAGGGATGAAACGCATTATTGCATTATTATAAAATGCATTTTGTGACTCAGTTAAATTTTTCCTCTATGATAGCCATACTGTACAATGCTCAGTACCTGAATTTATAAACTAACCAGCTGAACGGGTAGTGGATACATAGTCCCAAGTTTGTTTTTACTGGTCTATGTCCAAACTAGAGCAGCTCTGAGCTGTTATTGGACTTCCACTCATACTCTAAAGTCAGACTTCATATAGCCTTTATCCTATCCACAGTTGTCTCTCACTTATCTACTTTTGAGGGGATAACATTAAGAGATTAGATGGTAAACACATACCCCAATTCACTTTAATGAACAATTCACCCCTGAATGGTTTATACAAACAACTCTAAGGATACAGTAACACTGTTCAGTCGTGGTTTTATTCATAGATGTATATGTGAAGGAAAAGGTCTGATTTGATGCAAGCCTGCCTTCTTGGCCCTGCCTTGACTGTGAACTAACCGCAGCGATGGCTAAGCTGTCCTGAGTCCATGGACCCACTCACACAGAATTCACTTCATCTGTACCTTGAGGCTTGTGACAGTTGTCTCAACCCTCTCCTCAAATGATTTGAAAGTAGGAGAATTCCTAAAATAACAAAAAAAGAGAGGTCAGCTCCAAAGACCTAGCTGTCTTAGCAACCATGCTGTTTGGTTTTCTGCTCATATTTGTAAACCTGGCCTCTGCAACAGAGCTACCTGTCAGCTTGCCATCTACACCAACCGTGTTTTAAAATGTATGTCACTTCTGATAGGTTAGGTTCACAAACCATAACCTGACATGGAATTTTTCTAAGTAAAATGGGCAGATACTCAACTGTACAATAAATAATATGATATTTGGCAATGACAAAACTATAATAATGCCATGGTATGCTGTAAATCATTTCCAGTGAGCCAGTGGAGCAATAGGTAGCCTAAGTTTTCATTTAGCATTTATTGTTTCTATCACAACACTCCTCTTCCCGACTCAGGTTTTTTAGTAAGCAATGGAAAATCCGTATGAAGAATGTCATGTTTGAGTTTTGCCACTTGGCGTTTTTTAAAGTTTTATTTCAGCAAATGTGAGACAAGACAGAAATAGCACAAGGAAAAAAATGTTCATGTTTTTTTCTTTTCCATGCCTTAAAAAAATAATCATTTTGACAGCTTCCATGAAGTAGTGTTTTGGAAAGTTAATGCTTTCATTATTTTAAGATAAAACATACCCATTACCTACCTAATGCCTTATCTAAATGGTATTATTAGAATGTGTTATTTTTCCTCCCACATAGGATATATCTATTTGTTCTCTTACTAAACAGGTTTTTTTGCTTTGTTTTGTTTCTTGATAAAGAGTCTTGCTTTGTTACACAGGCTGGAGTGCAGTGGCACTATGTCGGCTCACAGCAACCTCCACCTCCTGGATTCAAGTGATTCTCCTGCCTCAGCCTCCTGAGTAGCTGGGACTACAGGCGCCCACCACCACACCAGGCTAATTTTTGTCTTTTTAGTAAAGATGGGGTTTTACCACGTTGGCCAGGCTGGACTCAAACTCTGACCTCAGGTGATAATGCCTGCCTCGGCCTCCCAAAGTGCTGGGATTACAGGCGTGAGCCACTGTGCCCAGCCCCTAATGCCATTTTATTTGTGACACATTCATTGTATTAAATAATCTATACATCATCTTGTTGCTTTAAGCGTTAAAAACTTCATTTGGTGCTTTCTAGTTTTCTATATTGTATTTGGCCCCATGATATTATCATTTAATGACATCACTACCATTAAAAATATCAACAACTCCTGCTAAAGAAACAGGAACTGAACTAAGTGTATTTTAAATCTTGTATCCATGTCAGCTTTCAGCAGCAACAACTGCCATTTTTTTCAGATCAAATAATTCAACTAAATGTTGAATTAATAAGGTACTTGTTATTCTCTCTTGAGTGCAAAAAAAAAAAAAAAAAAAAAAAAGTAAAATAAGAAGAATGGCCTAGAAAAACTTTATAAAGGAGAATGGCTATAGAATATAGGTTTCATTGTATGATGCAGAATGAAGCATCACTCTTATTATGCTACTAAAAGGCAATGGACATAGATGTTTATGAGTGAATTTGGGGATTGTCTCCCGAGTCTTTTATGCTTCACATGGTCAGAAATGTATCTGCCTTCAGGCTGCACAGATCAACACTGGTGAGTTCAGAGGACTCTGATGTGGCATCACACCTTGTATGTGACTCAAACATGAGTTAAATTCCTATAAGTAATCCTCTACAATCCTGTTTCGTGATGAAACATTAGTAAAATTACACCTGCGTGACTCAAAAGGTATATAGTTATTGGCATTTCATTTCCATTGCAGGTTTTATTTCACCAAGCCTTCACTCATGACTGCCTGTCATCCGTCAGTTACAAAGGCCCACAGTGAGGAAACGGTTCATGGGTATATGTTAGACAAGCAAAATAATTTTTTTTTTTCAAGTTAGTTTCAGGCAAGCTCATACAGACTGCGTTTGACCCATAAGCTACTACCAGATGACTTCCTGGTTCACAGGGCAAAACCATGTTAATTTTTGCAAGCCTTCTTCTGACACCCAGATTTAAAATTTGACAAGTAAAGGAAAATAGAGCCTTAGGTTCCACTACCCAACTTAGACGTTCTTAAGCTAGGGGGAGCAAGCCATTCAAAGATGAACTAAGCAATCTTGAATCTGTACTCCCTGGTTACCACCAAATACAGAGAACTAAATACTGTGGTTAAATTTCCAAATCAACCAATTAACCACATAACCCCAGTGTAAAAGAGCCTTCCTTCATAAGATGTAATAGAACAGACATTTGTCTAATTAAATTATACTAGAGTGCATGCTGGAACAGGGAGAAACTTTAATCAGATTTAATCAGATGTACAACTTTAATCAGATTTAATCAGATGTACAAACTTTTAGCACTGCAAATGACCCTAGGAGGAATTTGGCTTCATGACAATTAAAAAACACAAAACACAGGAAATGATTATAAAGAATTTGGCTTCAGTGGTCTCAAATTATTGAAACTAACTGAACCCCCTCTATAAAGTATTCAAACCACAATATTAAGGTAAAGCAGGTAGAAGAAGCATAGCTCTGACTGAAGTGGGGGAAGCTCCCAGAGGCTTCATCGCTAGGCAGCCTTAGGGCTCTGTGGGTGGGGGAGGCACTTTTCACAAGCAGCTAATCTGGTTCTAGCCTCTTATTTTAAAGATGATGAAGCTGATACCATTGAGGTGATTTTCCCAAGAGTGGAAAGTTAATCCTAGCCAAAGCCTGCATTTTCAGATTTTCAATTTAACACTCATTCCTATCTTACTATTAAATTTTACCAGATTGCATCACTATGCCATGGAAACTTGAAGTTAGGAATGTCCTTCTCACCAGTTATTATCTGGACAGTAATTCTGCTGGCATTTTATTGTTTAACAAACATCTCAACTTAATATCTATGTTAAGAATCCTAATGATATCCTTTCTAGAATTTTAGCCTTCTTAATCTCCTATCCTTTCATTTAAACTTTCCCCCAGGCTGGCATTTAATTTTGCTGAAATAAGAAACCCAAGTGTACCTTTGCAAGATCGGTTGGCATGTTCAGATGCTGTGCTAAATGCTTTATGTAGGTTCTTTTGGTTATATCTCTCAAACACCATATGAAGTAGGTCTTATTTCTTGCAATATATGAATAAAAGAATTGAGGTTAAGTCACTTGTCTTGGGTCACACAGGAAAGGCTGGATTTAAGACAGGATGTCTGGTCAAAAGCCCAAACTACACAATTCTACAGAATTGTCAGTCTTTTCTTCTGAATAACATCAGCAATTTCCTTTCACATAAAACAGGGGAAGCCCATAGGTAAATATAAATAAAATAATATCTTAAACCCATTCTATAGTCATATTATATAAAATATTTTACACACATTACCTCATAGCAGGCATACTTATGGAATGGCGAATGGAGTAGCTTCAAAGCAAAAGCAGATTAAAGGGGGAAAAAAAAGAAAAAAGAAGAGAGCACAACATAAGTAAATGAAAACCTCCCTATTTGTAGTTCTAAAACAGTAATTCCAAATATCTGAAATATTCCCGGCCCATCCAACCAAGATGATATTTGTTTTGTTGGGTATAATGGGGCAGTGTCAGCTTTCAAGAGTATAAATGAAAAGTAGATGGTGGAGCCATGGTTGCATATTATTTTACTGTCTACAGCCTCCTTTTGCTAGGAAATCTGCGAATGTCTGGTTTCTCCTAGGTGAGCCCAGTAGCCCATGGGCATCTTCTATAGGCCCAACCCGGGTCTCTACTCCCTTCTGCTCAGGAAGACAGTAAGGAGCAAACGGCAGTATCCAGGAAATAGAGCCAGGCGGGTAGGAGCTAATCACTCCATGGTAGAGAAACTGGCCAGAGGAATGCAAGAAGCTTACATAAGACTTTCAAGGAATCACGTGCCAGGGAAACACAATTCTCATAGGCCAATATGGGGGCGGGGACTTCTGCATCCATTCAGGTTTGATTGTCAAGAATATCTGGTACAAACGCAAACATTCCTGAGAATTTTAAGAGATTTAGCTTTCTCATCCTATTAATCCTAGTAGCTGATTCATCTTTCCTCTGGTTGATTGCCTGTTACTTTCTAGTGAGTCTCACTCAGATATCAGACTGGGCAGGGGTAGGAGCACAATGGGTCCATTTTCCTGGCCTAGTACTGGCTCCCACCTCACACTTTTCAACAGCATCTCTGCTTTCTCTTCTCTCAAGAAGCTAATAGTTCAGGGACTAAATCTGTTACCCTTCCCTGACAAAATCCACTGAGGGCATTAGTATGGGTAGCACTTTGCTAGAACACAGAAAAGGACACAGAAATTCAGGGGATACTTACAGTCTTACCCTAGGCACTCCATTTAGAAACTATTAGGCAGATATTTCCTCAGAAATTATACTTTAAAAGCATCACTAAAAGAAACTCATCTGCATTACTATGTAAATACAGACCGCTTTCTTAGGAAAAAATTAAAAAAATAAAAGTATATAATAAGATTGCAGCTAAAAGAAGGCTTAATTCAGGGGCTCGGGACTAACAATTGCAAACTTCTTAACATATGCGCTTCTTCAGTAACCCTTCTTCCCTCCAACTTCAGAAGGCACAGAAAGTTGAAGGTGAAACATCAACACAAATTAACAGGTAAGAAATTCAGAGAAACATGACAATCTAGAGAAAATCAGTTTTTGTTTCTCAACTTTCTAGAAGATTTACAAAATATATAACTTTCTTTCTTTTTTTTTTTTTTTTTTGACATGGAGTCTTGCTCTGTCACCCAGACTAGAGTGCAGTGGTGCGATCTTGGCTCACTGCAACCTTAGCCTCCTGGGTTCAAGCGACTCTCCTGCCTCAGCCTCCCAAGTAGCTGAGATTACAGGCTCTGGCCACTATGCCCCGCTAATTTTTGTATTTTTAGTAGAGACAGGGTTTCACAATCTTGGCCAGGCTGGTCTTGAACTCCTGACCTCATGATCCGCCCGCCTTGGCCTCCCAAAGTGCTGGAATTACAGGCGTGAGTCACTGCTCCCAGCCAAAAACATACATAACTTTCAATCTCCACTTGTTTTATTCTTCTTCTTTCAATTCTAAGGACCTCTGTCAACATGGGAAGAAATGGTGCCGAGGAAGATTCCTGAGAGATTCCTCAGCAAGTGACATGGTGTAAATGATTCAGAAATGAAACAGAGATGTACTTCAATAGGCTCAACTGTATTAGGTGCCCTGTAAACTATCCTCCTGGTCACAAACACTCTCTGGAACATAGAGTGTAGTTTTGTTGGTTCAGGAACAGTGTGAAAGAAACAAAGTCCTGGGAAGCAAGGGCAGCAAGGGAGTGGACAGAGTCCCACAAGCAGCCCCATGGTGCTTACCCGATGGAGTGAGACCTGCAGCCAGGCAGCACAGGAGAGAAGAGCAGGAGCAGAGTTAGCAAACAGGGATGCAGAGAAACACCGCACTGCTCTTGGGGGTCCCCTTTCAAGGGCCCCGGAGCAGAGACAGGTAGCTTCTTATACCACTTTTGATTACACTGACTTTTTAATGTCTCTGTCAAATCATTTTACCAACTTAGGTTTTGCTTCTAACTGTTATTCCTACGAGTATATAACAATGATTGGCCTCTAATAAAATGTCATGCCCTCTCCAAACATTCTGTCCCCACTGGTTTAGTTTGAACAAATTAACTGAGAAGTTCCCAGAACCTGCTAATGCTGTTAGAAAAATGATTCCAACCACCTGTATTTCTTCGGAATACTTTCCTAGGTGTGACCTCATTTTAACTTCACAGGAAACATTATGGTTAAAGGGGTATTAACAATGTTATTTTATGGATGGAGAAAGAGAGCGGGTAATTCCATGACAATCAGGTTAAAATGAGAATCTTACTTAGCTCAGAAAAACATAACTTATTTTTACAAAACATACAAATTAAATCCTAACATAATGCCTTTTTCCAGCTATTAAAAGGCTCAAAATCTAGGTTTTGCAAAGATCTGTAAATATTAATTTGGAGTTATTTTAAAGAAGAACTGAGAGGTACTGTTTTTTCTTCCAAGGTATCTGAATTTTGCTGGTAATCTTTTTGAATAAATCCAGAAATTTATTACCAGAATGCACAAAAAATTTCTAGCATAATTGATAAAAATGTAGAATAATATGATACTTTTAACCAAAAAGAAGTCTAAAATAAAAGGTCTATGATCAAATTTTAACCTATTCCTCATATTTACAAATTGGCACATTCATTTCTGAACAAAAAATCAAAGCTTATGAATTTTTCTCATTTAAGGGCTTATATTAAATTAAGCTTAAACACTTTTAAAATGACTTTTATGTCTATTACTTGTTTTAGCATAATTTTAAACTAAAAATTCTTTGTAAAATGTGTTGCTTTTACAGAGTTATTCTCATTTATATACAAATGTTAGATATAGTTTGAGAGAAATATATACATGAAATATTATATAAATATAGCTCTGAAATTTTCAAACCCTTCAAAATATTTCAGGATTGTATTTGAGTCTCTAGTAACATAGACTATATTTTCCAATATTTTAGCCACAGTTTATAATGAAAATGTTGTGTCCTTTACATGGAGTAATAATTAGTGGAAAGTTTAGAAGTCCTGGCAAATAGGCCATCCACTATACTAAACGAAGCCACATTGAAACAGGAGGAAAGGTGGTAAATACAACCTTGACATTGTACCCAATTAGTGTTTAAACATGAATGTCAACATATTACATATGTGAACCACAGTCTTCATTCGTCACTATTGAGAAAAAACAATGAACAGGGGCTATACGAAATACAGTGGGCTCCTGTTAATGTACTCTCTCTACTTTCTATCATGTGGGGCTATCTTGTAACTAAGCTGGTCACTTAAAGAGAAAAAACTGCTATTTTTTGAGTGTATAATACATGCCAAGCTTTCTTCTGCTACTTTTATAATAGTACAATGATACTGCTATTCTTATATCCATTTTATTAGTGAGAACCCCAGGTACAGGTGAGCTAACTTATGTCTGCCTTCCTCATAAATTGACCCTCTGAAGCCAAATAATCTGGAAGCTTGTTATAAAAGCAGATTCCTAGACCCCAACCCAGAGGTTGTTACTGAGGCACAACCTCTGAATGGTGCAACCTAAAAATAAGTATTTTAAATAAGCTTCAGAGGTGTTTGTAAAATCACCTAAAGATGCAGAAGCACTATTCTAGTTAGCAGTATCACGCAGGGTTCCCAGGGTTCAAGTGAGCTCAGTATGTAGAGAACCAATTTTATAAACACAACAAGATATGTCTTCTTGGGTATAACAGGTTATAGCGTTTCCTGTTTTAAAGGATTATTAATTCGTTTAGATAAATGTTATAATGCCATTAAAATGATTACAAATTTTATTTGTAATAAAATTAGAAGTACTTAATAATCCAGAGGGTTTACCTGTTTATCACACCTGCCTCTGAAGAAGTTCAATTACTTTTTATTATTGTGATATTAGTAAAAATGAAGATAAAACAATGTACTCAGATTCATGCATGTGTCCTTGTGAATGCCTAGTTGTTAAAATAGTGAATGTTGTACAGTCCAGCAATTTTTGAAGTAAAAAAATTTAATAATATAATACATAAAGATATATCTATAAATGCAAAGATAGAAATACATAAATATTTGCCTCTCAGTGTCAAAACTTTTTCTTTTCTTTTTTTTTTTTTTAAGATAGTCTCACTCTGTCGCCCAGGCCGGAGTGCAGTGGTATGATCTGGACTCATTGCAACCTCCACCTCCTGGGTTCAGTCAACTCTCCTGCCGCAGCCTCCCGAGCGGCTGGGAATACAGGCACATACCACCATGCCTGGCTAATTTTTGTATATTTTTTTAATGGAGACAGGGTTTCACCATGTTAGGCAGGCTGGCCTTGAACTCCTGACCTCAAGTGATCTGCCTGCCTCAGCCTCCCAAAGTGCTGGGATTACAGGCATAAGGCACTGTGCCCAGCCCAAAGCTTTTTCTTTTTAATAAAAAAGTAATAGTTTAAGAATCCAGTAAAGTAAATACACACAGATTTTTTTCTAAAGAAGAAATTTAAAATGTACTCAAAAAGTTTTTAAAGAATAGAGGGAAAAATGAAACTGATTCTAAAGAAAAATCCTCCAAGGCTTATCAGCCAAATGCAAAATAAACTGTGACTGGTATTTACATAAGCAAAAACTAAAAGAGCAATAACTCTATATGTGATAAATTCCTTGTACATAATATAAAAAACTATGGCCAATACCGCATTTTTTTTTTCTAGTGCCTCCAGTGAGAACTTTTGGTTACCACGTCAGAATCAACCTTGATGATCATCCTTATTTTATATAACAGTGAAATATTGAAAATAATCAAAATGTGCAAAGGTACTTATCTTAAAGTGCTGCTATAGCTGTACACTCATAGGAGATAATAAATTCATTAAAAATGAAGGTGCAATAAATATTTATTAACATACTCACAAAATATTTTTAAAATGAAGAAAGAAAACTACCAGAAGTATATATGTATGGTACCTTTATGGAATAAAAGGATAAATATGTATATACTTAACACAGAAGAATATACTAGATGGATGTATACAAATATATAACCTAGAATAGTTTATCGAAGCATGTTCCACTGAATGCATATTTTAATTTATCATTTATATTACAGCTAGTAAGATTTTGCTGCGTTCTTTTGAGATCTGTCTCACTACCCTGTATCTTCTATTTTTACCAGGTCGGGTCCTAGTAGAAATAGCAACTCTGGGACCAGGTCACCTAAGCCTGACCTTCAGGCAAAAGCGTCCCAATGTAAAAATTTATCTTAGTCATCAATAATACCAGCCATATAACATTTTTATCCATTAAAATAAAAAAAAATACATATGTTGAGATGAGCAGCTAATGGCTAGTGCTCCCTTCAATTGGAAAGCCAAGGGCTCAGCACCCTTCCCATGGTATTTTCCCACAGTACCTCATGTCTCCGAACTTCTTACTGATGGCCGTCCCAACATTGCTGAAAGCTGCAGTCGCCTTCTGCCCTGCGTGACTCAGGGTTTCATGTGTTTTCTTGTAGCTAGAAGTAAATCACAACAACACAGTTTTTATATCATGAACGCCCATAAAAAATTAATCTTCCTTCTCATTCCTTACTTTGAAAATGTCCTTTCATTTCAAATGCCATGCCCTCTCCAAACATCAACAAATTTAGGAAGAAGAACCACAAAAGCAACTGTTTCCATTCATTGTCTAGAGATGATGAGTTGGCTGCTGTTCATCAGAAGGGAAGTCAGACCATTAAATCTGAATTCAGAAATATAAATACAGATACAAATACAGATCTGAATGTACAGATCTTCATGACAAATAATGGAGCTGCTCAGAGAGTAGAATGTTGTTCTTGAAGTGTATTAATTCTAAAAAAGACACTTGTCAATGAAAGCTCTAGTCACCAAGGGTAACACAGAAATTAGAAATTGCAGGTTTAGGTTTTGAAGGAAAATCTAAGCTTATACTGTGAATTTGGGTAAAATAACCCAGAAAAAGGCAAAATATAGCTAGTTTTTTAGCTTATTTTTCTAATATATATAGCTGGAAATGATAAAAACACATCATTGGAAGATAATATAGTGTCTTTTTTTCAAAACAGTTTTAGGAATATAGTACTGTGAATATTTGTTGATAAGCCTATGTCACACTAGACTTGACTCCTTGAGGGCAAGGAAGCCATTCATCTTTGTGTCCCTAGTCACTGAGAAAGGGATAAAAGGAGAAACTCAATAAATAGTAGATGAACGAGTGGGTGATATCAAAAGGGACAACTTTCTGTGACTGAACTGGGAATAGTGGCACTAGGAAAAGAAAGAGTATAGTGGATTACAGGGATAGAATAGATAGACTCAACAGGAGATGGTAAGTGACAAAAGCAAGACAAAAGATTGCCCTGAGGATGTGAGCATCATGACAGGAAGGACAGTAGTGCTACCTATAGGGCTGAGAAATTTCTGAGTTGGTTAATAAAGTGGGCAAGTCTGAGCTCAGACACACCTATCCCTGCCGCCACTTGATGGCATTTCTCTACCTGCCCTGGTTGCAGAACACAGATGACATAAACTCTTGAGAGCTTTATGGGCCCACCCATTGCCTGAGAAACCAGAATACCTCCCTTGGACGATTTAGGGCAAGCTTAAATCCCACCTTGACAACGGCAGCTGGTGCCCTCTTGAAAGCACCACCTCCTGGCTGGAGGTTGATCAACTCAGGCCGTACTTCAACTCATGACAGAGTAACCCTGATTCCAGGAAGAAGAAAAGAGCAGCTAATACTGCTGCCTGTAACATCCTGGCCAACCAGAGGTCCTGAGTCTGTCCACATGACAACTTCACTGCTAGTAAAACCAGCATTTGAGAAAGCCAGCACATTAAACCTACCTACAACCAAGGATTCTCACAGTCTACTTCACTCCCCTGCCACCTCCACCAGACCAAGTGCTGGTATACATAGCTGGGAGACCTGAAGACTGGTCATATCACAGGACTCTTTACAGCCATTTGCCAGCACCAGCCCAGAGCCTGGTAGTACTTCTGGATGGGTAGGCCATGAAGAGAAATAACAGTCACTGTAGTTGAGTTCTCAGGAAGTCCAATTTCTAAGGGAAGGGGAGAGCACTACATCAAAGGATCACCCTGTGGGACAAAAGTGTGGACAGCAGCCATTGAATTCCAGATCTTTCTACTGGTGGGAAGTTTCTCATAGCAGAGACACAATTGCAGTGCTGGGCACAGTAGGGAAAGTCTGCACCTCTATCCCAAATGGCAGGCAGCCTCTGTGATTGTGTAGGGCCTTGAAGAAAACGTTCTTGTTCCTCCTGGCACTCCACTGCAGACACAGTTGGGCTTCCCCCAGAGGAATGGAGGCACCTAGAGACAGTCTTTTTGAAAAAATCTGGGGTAAGTGCAGCCCCACAGGAGGAACACACTCCAGATTCCGGCTTGCCTGAGAGGCAAAGTCACAATTCCTCCCTATTTGGAGCATCAACATTTCCATAGATAAAACAGGTGCCTGTCTAATCTGAATAGCCAGGACACTGGGACAGGAAGGAGACTGTGAGCTGAGTAGCTTTCCTGCTTACCTGGTAGGGGAGCTGAGGTAGCTCCGACTATTCACCCTGATAAAACCGCAGGACATCTAACTGAGAGCTTCTCCAGCCACCTTCATCAAGGCTTGGACCTCAGCCCACCATTGGGTATTACATCTACCCATCTGCCTTAGCCACAACCAATGCCTGCCCTCCTCTCCTAATGGCCTGAAGATTAAATCATCAACTCAGTAAATAAAACAGTGGGAAAAAGTTAAATAAATAAATAAGGGTACAACATGAGAGAACGAGATAAGCTTCAGGAGATCCGTGCCATTCCAACTCCTTAGGAGACAGTGAACTCGCCCACATACCAAGAATATAACTACTACAACCAGCATCACGGAAAGCCAGCACACAAAAAACCTTTCTATAACTAAGGATCGCATACAATGAGTCTTCACCTCTATAAGCACCAAGAATTAAATTAGGCTAAAATAGACATTAAAGTCTAATCCTTAAGAGGGAAAAAATAAATTTAAGTTTAAAAAAAAGTCCAATTAAAAATAAATTCAAGAGCAATTTTAAGAAATAGCCCATTTAAATGAGAAGAAATCAGAAAAGTAATTCTTGTAATATAACAAACTGGGGTGCTATAACACCCACAAAAGTTCACACTAGCTCCTCAGCAATAGATCCAAACCAAGAAGAAATCTCCTAATTGCCAGATAAAGAATTCAGAAGGTTATTAGGCTACTCAAGAAGATATCAGAGAAAGGTAAGTTGATTGAAAACTAACTTAAACTTTAAAAAAAAAAAAAAAAAGGACATCACTAAAAAATTTTCCAGAGAAATATATAGCATAAAGAAAAAACAATCATAACTTCTGGAAATGAAAGACATGCTTAGGGAAATAAAAAATACAAAAAATACAGTGGAAAGTTTCAACAATAGTCTAGAAAAAGTGGAAGAAAAAGCTTCGGAGCTCAAAGACAAGGCTTTCAAATTAACACAATCCAACAAAGACAAAGAAAAAAGAAAGAAAATGAACAAAGCCTTCAAGAAATTTGGGATTATGTTAAATGGCCAAACCTAAGAATAATTGGTGTTCCTGAGGAAGAAGAAAAATTTTAGTTTGGAAAACTTATTTGAGGAAATAATTGGAGAAAACTTCCCTGGGCTTGCTAGAGATCTAGACAACCAAATACAAGAAGCTCAAAGAACTCCTGTGAAAGTCTTCACAAAAAGATCATCACTTAGGCACACAGTCATCAGGTTATCTAAAATCAAGACAAAAGAATCTTAAGAGCAGTGAGGCAAAAAAATCAGGTAATCTATAAAGGAAAACCTATCAGATTAACAGCTGGTTTCTCAGCAGAAACCTTACAAGCCAGAAGGGAGTGGGGTCCTATCTTTATCCTCCTCAAATAAAATAATTGGCAGACAATTAGCCAAGAATTTTGTATCCAGCAAAACTAAGCTTCATAAATGAAAGTGAGATAAAGTCTTTTGCAGACAAACAGGTGCTGCGAGAATTTGCCACTACCAAGCACCCTGACAAGAAATGCTCAAGGGAATTCTAAATGTTGAAACAAAACTTTGAAATACCCAAAAATAGAACTTCCTCAAAGCATAAATCTCATAGGACCTATAAAACAAGAATACAATGAAAAAAAAATAACCAGTATTTAGGCAACAACTAGCATGATGAATAGAACAGTACCTCACATCTCAATACTAACTTTGAATGTAAATGGCCTCAATAATCCATTTAAAAGACACAGAATGGCAAAATGGATAAAAATCCACCAACCAAGTATCTGCTGTCTTTAAGAGACTCACCTAACACATAAGAAATCACATCAACTTAAGGTAAAGGGGTGGAAAAAGATATTCCACACAAATGGAACCTAAAAGTGAGCAGGAGTAGCTATTCTTACATCAGACAAAACAGCCTTTAAAGCAACAAAAGTAAAAAAAGACAGAGTGACATTATGTAATTATAAAAGGATTAGTCCAATAAGAAAATATCACAATCCTAAATATATATGCATCTAATACTGGAGCTCCAAAATTCATAAAACAATTACTACCAGACCTAAGAAATGAGTTAGATGGCAACAAAATAATAGTGGGAGACCTCAATACTCCACTGACAGCACCAGACATGTTATCAAGACAGAAAACCAGCAATGAAACAACAGACTTAAACTATGCCCTAGAACTAATGGACTTAACATATATTTACAGAACATTCTATCCAACAACTCCAGTATACATTCTTTTCATCAGCATATGAAACATTCTTTAAGATTGACCATATGATAAGCCACAAAACAAGTCTTAATACATTTAAGAAAACTGAAATCGTATCAAGCATCATCTCAGAGCACAGTGGAATAAAACTGGAAATTAACTCCAAAAGGAAGCCTCAAAACTAGACAAATATGTGGATATTAAATATTCTGCTCTTAAATAATCTTTGGGTCAACAATGAAATCAAGATAGAAATTTAAAAATTCTTTGAACTGAATGATAATAGTGACACAGCTTATCAAAACCTCTGGGATACAACACAAGCAATGCTAAGAGGAAAGTTCATAGCATTAAATGCCTACATCAAAAAGTCTGAAAGAGCACAGACAGACAACCTAATGTCACACCTCAAGAAACTAGAAAAACAGAAGCAAACCAAACCCAAACCCAACAGAAGAAAAACAATAACAAAGATCAGAAAAGAATGAAATGAAATTGAAACAAAAAAAGATATAAAAGTTAAATGAAACAAAAAGCTGGTTCTTCAAAAAGATAAACCAAATTAATAGACCATTAGCAAGATTAACCAAGAAAACAAGAGAGAGAATCCAAATAAGCTCAACTGGAAATGAAATGGGAGATATTACAACTGATATCATAGAAATGTAAACATTCAAGGATACTACAATACCTTCATGCACACAAACTAGAAAATCTAGAGGAAATGGATAAATTCCTGGAAA